CATGCCTTTTTTTTATATGTTAAAACTACTCCTCAATAACCCTTTGGGATTACTCCTTCCCTTATCATGTTGATGAGTGCATAGATAGGTTAAGGAATTTATTTTATGTTATACAAGTAGTAGGTGGTGGAAATAAATTGAATATGTAGTTTAACTGTTGGCTAGTGTGACTTCAAACCTTGGACAGACTTATCCTGACAGAAGACAAATGTTCTTCATTAGTTAAATATGTTCATTAGAATATTAATTTATGATTCAATGAAATACTTCAAAAAGTGGTTGTGGGCCCAGTGTCAGTGGCTCACATCTGTAATTTAGCTACTCTGGAAGCTGAGATATGAGGATCGCAGTTTTAAGCCAGCACAGGCAAAAAAGTCCCTATGAGACTATCTCCAATAAATTACTCAAAAAAGCTGGAAGTGGCACTGTGGCTCAATTGGTAGAGGGTTTGATTTGAGTACAAAGAGGCTCAAGGACAATGTCCAGGCCCTGAGTTCAAACCTCAGGACTGGAAAAAAAAAAGTGGGTGTAGGGTAGTGGCATAACTGGCCTACTTAAATATTAGTATTAATAAAAGTCAGCATAGCTACATTATATGAACATTTATATTTTGTGAAGGCAACTTGACACATTTAGCACTTTGGCCGTTGATAGTGAGAAAAATTATTTAAATGGAGGCAGTTAGATTTAATGAAAGGAAATGTCATTACTGGAGGCTTTACCTAATTTAAAACATACATAAGAGAGGAGAATTAATTTTCCATGCAAATGACAAAGAAGGAAAGTATTATTTTGTCAGTAGAAGTGGCACCACTGTGAGCTATAGAAAAATATATCTTCTAATTCACTTAGTTCTACAGTTTTATAAAAGTGTGTCTTTGAACATAAAAAATTTAAAAACTCTGATATTACAAATGTTACCACATGTCATAGCTGAAGATCAAAATAGCTCAATAGCTATGTATATATGACCATATAAAATGATACTAATTGAAATGAACTCCAGGATATGGAAACAAGAGGTCTTTTCTTTTGTTGTTGACCTTGTTGTCATCTATGTACTATATCAAGTTCTTTCTTTTTATTTATTTATTTTTCTCCTCTTCCCTCTGGTTTATCCTTGGTAGTCACTGTTTTTGATTCTTGTACCTTGAATCTTGTGTATATGTTTATCTGATTTGGGAGGAAAAGGGAATAGCAAAATGGTGAAACAGGGACAAAGGCTGAACCAGTGCAACAATGATACTAAACACGAGATGGGAAATAAAATTTACAACTTCCGGGGCTGGGGAAAAGTGGGGGAAGAGGGCAGAGGGGGGTAGAGGTGGGGAGGGATAGTGGAAAAAAAAGGAGTGGGCAACAATGTTCAACAAAAAGTACTCGTTGCCTTACTCAGTTACTCATGTAACTGTAACCCTCTGTACAGCACCTTTACAACAAAATAAAATAAAAAAAAATTTAAAAGGAATGTATTTAAGATTCACAATTAAATGAAAGCACTGACGAGATTAGCAAATGTTGATAACTATAAGTTTGGCAATGGGTACATGGGCTGTTATATACTTCTTTGAGTTTGCATAAATCTACTTAAAACTTTTTTAATATATATTTTTATTGTAAAGATACTGTACAGAGGAGTTACAGTTACATGAGTAAGGTAATAGGTACATTTCCTATTGAGCATTCTTACCCCCTCCGTTGTTTTTCCCTACTATCCCTTCTCTCCCCACCTCCCCAACTCCTCCCTTCCCCATCCCAAGTTGTAAAGCTCCTTTTCAACATAGTGTCTTGTACATCTCCTTGCTACAATGGGTCAACCTTACAACTTTTTAAAATGTAAGAAAAACAAATGTTGCCACTTGAGAATTTCTGGATATTCTTATTCTTCAACCTGCAGTTTTATAAACTGTTACTGTAATGTGATGAGTGCTTTCAAATTCACCCAGTCCATTTGTGTAGAGGATTTAGTCTTTTAAGAGACATGATTACGATTTCTTTCCTCCCTGCATGTCTTTCATAGTGGAAAATACTCTGTCCTAAAAAATGCAAAGTAACTGTTTAATCTATCCTTAGCCACAGAAACTGAAATCTACTAAGATGCTAGAAAAATTACTGTACAAAACTTACAGAAAATCATTTTGTCTTTCTCCAAAACATCATTCTTTTCTTTATGTGCCAATTTTAGAACTGAGCTTCCCACTTAAGATACAATTGAGCTGGAAGATAATGGGCATTGCTGATAACCAATACAACAATAAATGTTACTTCTTTTCTCCCACAAATTCCTTTTTTTTTTTTTTCTTTGCCAGTCCTGGATCTTGAACTCAGGGCCTGGGCACTGTCCCTGAACTTCTTTTGTTCAAGGCTAGCACTCTACTACTTGAGCCACAGTGCCACTTCTGGCTTTTTTTGTTTATGTGGTACTGAGGAATTGAGCCCAGGGCATCATGCATGCTTGACAATCACTGTACCACTGAGCCACATTCCCAGCCCCCACATCCTATGATCCCTCACATGACTAACAGGAAGATAATCCTAATATAACAGATTTGTCTAGGCTTATGAATTGGGGTTGGGGTTGGTTGAGTAACTCAGTTCTGGTCTCATATGACATATAAAAACAAGTCTTTTAAGGGGCTCTTGGAAATATTTACTGGATTCTTAGAAAGTCAGTGAAAGTTCCTTCTTTCTAAGCATGATTTTTTGGGCTTCTATGGGATCCCAATGGCTGCCATGTGCTGTCATTCCTCCAAGTATGTCAACATCAAGAATGGAGGAGATAGCTGGGGATGTAACTCAGCAGGTGAGTGCTTGTTTAGCATGAACAAGACTCTGGGATTGTTCCTAAAATAATGAATAAATAGAGAAGAGAAGAGATGGATGAACCATAGAAACTTGAAGACATTTGTCAATTTCTTAAGTCTCTTAATCTCTTTTACTTAGTCAACTCGGGTAACTTTAACACAATTTGAAAGACTAGGTGGATCAAAGAGCCAAAATTTCTCACAGTTCTGGAGCCTATGATGTTCAAGTTCAAGATGTTGCTGGATGACTGGGTTCCTGGTGAAGGCTTTCTTCCTCGCATATAGCTGCCTGCCTTCTTGATATGTCCTCAATGGCTTTTGGTGTGTGAGCCTTACAAAGAGTGCTCTTCCTTTGTAAGGCTATTTATGCATTTGGATTTAGATCTCATCTACAACATCATGTAATCTTAACTATTCCTAAAAGTTCTATCCACATTTTATCCCTAAAATGCCACACTGGAATTAGAGCTTTATGATGGTTCATTTTTATTTTCAACTTGATTAGATTGAAAGCTGCCAAAGAGATTAGTAAAGCATATTTTTGAGTATGTCTGTGAGGGTATTTTTAGAGAGGATTAAGACCTGTCCTGAATGTGGGCAACACTATCCAATAGGCTGGGGGCCCAGGCAGAAAAGGAAAATTAGGAAAAAGCAATCACATTCTACTTCCTAGTTGTCATGAGGCAAGCCAGGTTCCACCATATACTTTTGCTGCCATATTCCTCTGCCTCTCAGCAGACTCTGAGCAATAAAGCACTGGCTATGAAGCAAAACTTCTGACTCCTATAAGCCAAAATCAATCCTTATTCCTTTTATGCTCTTCTCTCAGGTATCTATTCCAGTGGCAAAATACTTAATAACTCAATCTTCAGATATGAATTTGCAGCTGATACAATTCAGTATATAGCAGATAATATGACCCATGTCCTGTTGTTACTTAAACAAGTTTATTTTTTCTGTTATGACCCAAGTCCTGTTTTTACTTAAACAAGTTTATTTTTCCTGTTACATACAGCTGGATATACCCCAAATCAATATTTCTTATGAAGCAATTCATAGGAGATAATGTCTATTTCATGGCTTATAATTTGAGAAGAGGTAGGGCTATTTTCCATTCTCTAGAACAAAGCATTTGTAGAGTTAAAATGATTAGTCTATTGCTGTGATTGGGCATTTCATGAACTGCTGTAAATATATGTGGTATCATGTTAACATAAACAGTTCAGCCCTTAGGGAGTTTTAAGTTATAAAAGAAACATTTTTTTAAGATCATGTGCTCTGATAGAAAAACCACACTGCAGCCCAGTTCTATCATTATAAAGTTCTGGCAAGTCAAGAGACATTAGCTGGTGATTTTATCAAGAAATGCTTCTAACTAACAGCTTGATGAATCCATCACTGTGCCATAAAATCCTGTAACAATTTCAGGCAACAATTCCTTTGGAGAATTCAGTCATTTTAAATCATTATGGCTTACTCATGGAAAGCAGTATCTCACAGATCACCACAGTCCTACAAATAAGAATACCCTCTACTTTTTTTTTTGCCTGAAATAAGTGAGTTATATTTTTTTCTTTCAATTGAAATTTAGTTTTTAGGACTATCTTGAGCAAAAGAAGGTGAAGTATAGATGTTATCACATTGGAGGAAAGTTCTCCTGAAATATTTTGCCTTGCATTTTAATTACTGTCTGTACAGAGTAATTTACCCTTTTTCCCTCTAAATGAAACCTAAACAGCAAAATTATATTGGAGTAAATAATTTCTTACTTTAGTATATTTTACCTTTTATTTCTAGCCAGAGAGGTGAAAGATCATCACTTATCAAACTTACAAAAATAAATAAACCAAATAAACAAAAATCGAGTTCCATCAAGCATGGATGATGAATGATACATTTGCATATACAATGACCCCTATTAAAGCAATCGAACACGGACCATTTTGAAATCTTAAACCCATTGACATTATTTTCATGAACTCAGTAATATGAACCATGTGGTGAATGATTTCTGAAAAACTGCTGGTTTCACTGTGTATTTTATGACTGGGCAAATGAGACATTAAATTTTATCCCCTGTGGCTTGGAGTTAAATGCTTGCTCTGTTCAGAATGGTAACACTCAATTACACAGCATTTTTCATGATCTACACCCACCATTGTTACTGTATTTAAGGCAAATAATGGGGGTACTGACCTATATTGCGCTTCTTATTATCAACGGAGATGAAGCGTACGCAGGGATTACTGGTGATGTACTTCCCACCCCAAGGGACATCAATCTTCGTGCCAGCTTCATAAAAGAGGCCCAGGGCATAGCGAGAGGAGTAACTCACGGACTCTAGTTGCTGCCTTTGGCATTCACTAATGACTGCAAAAGAAAAAACAAAGGGCATCAAACTTGAAAATCATCTTTTCTTTCAGCACACCAAATACAGTGTTTCCTTAAACCAGTTATTTCCACCAAACTTCATCTTACTGAGTATTGTTTTTGCAAGGTAATATAAAATAGCCTCAGTTCTAACTTATTTTCAGAATGATTACTAATGTCGGAGGAGCTATTTTTTATAAGGTGAAGGCTTAGACTTGTTTGATTGGCTATCAAAGTGAAACCTGGCTAAGTGACTTTCCTGGACTGATCCTATTTCTGGACCTTGATCCTTGGACTGTCTGGAAATACATATATTTGGTGTACTGACCACCTACTATGTGACATAGTATTTCACTCTATCATCACAACATGTCCACGAGGTAGAGTATTATTTCTATGTTACAAGCTAGGATACTGTGTTCCACCTATTGTGACTTTTTAAATATTCTCATGTCATATAATGTTGGTTTTTTTTTGGCCAGTGGATTGTAATAGATCCTTCAGCAAAAGGATCACACCATGGTCATTTTTGTGATAGACACTTTCCTACTCACTAATAGCACAAGGATAGAACTATAAAAGGACAGAAAGGTAAATACAGCTATGCACTGTGTTGATATGATTAATCCATGTACTGAATGTCTAAGCAGTAATGAAAAAAGAAATTGCACAGACTTGGGGTCAATCTTGACTCTGCCACTTACTAGCTATGTAATGTTGATTAAGCTACTTAATCACTCTGAATATAGTTTTTTTTGTCTATAACTGACAATAATCAGACAGTCTGCATTATTGTGTTGTGAGGATGAGAAAATGATGCATAGCATGGTGCTTGGTTCATAACAAATGTTCATTAAATAGCAACTTTTTCTATAATAGACAAACATGTTTAGGAAAATGAGACAGATTACAACCTGGAATAGAAAAGAAGAAAATGACCCAATGCTTAAATTCTCATCTCTACCCCGACCCCTGAAATGTCTCAGGGGCTGTTTACTCTGAGAGTAGGTCACAGTTCTATTTTGGAGTTCAGGCAAGTGAGTTCAAATATGGAACATACAAATGATTTTCATTTAATTAGTGACCTGAAAGAGTAAGGGATAAACAGATCTCAATAATGGGAAAAAACTTTACTTAAATCTTTGCAAATGATTTTAAGTGTAGAGAGAGGCAGGAAAGTATATTCAATAAGTTATATAAGCACAGTAACCATTCTATTACCACCTCAAATACATTTAGGTTGTAATTAACAAATATTTTAGAACCAGGGTCTCACTTAATTTTCACCAAAGCCCTGCCAAGATAGGTATTTAATCATCCTCACTTCATATCTCCAGGTTAGTTAACTTGCCCTGGGTTCCACAGTGCCTATGATGAGGAGTCATGGAGAAATGTTCATTACCTCACAGTTGCCCCTGCTAATCTTAGTTTCAAAGTGGACTCAAACATTGCTTTATTCTCTGACATTAATACGTATCTTGAATATACAAGTAAAAGTCATTGTTCCCTTTAACCATCATTTTCTGCCTTTCAAAAAGGTTTAACTACTCAATGAATGCATGCTCTTCTGACATTAATGTCATTATAATCAACGAATTTGGGGTTTTATTTTCATTATTAAAGTTTTGTTTGCCAAGTTATGGTTTGGTGTTAGGTTTATTATTCTTTGGGAATAGGTAAGAGACAAAGACATTAGCAATTAAAATTAAGTTCACACCACTAATTTTCCCATTTTTAAAGTTAACAACCAGCCAAATAAAAGCTAACAAAACAAACAAGCAAATAAACATACCAAGTGCCTGTGGCTCATGCCTGTAATACTAGCTACTCAGGAAGCAGAGAACTGAGGATTGTGGTTTGAAGCCAGCCCAGGAATGTCCATGAGATTCTTATCTCCAATTAATCACAGAAAAATCTGGAAGTGGTGTTGTGGCTCCCAGTGGTAGAGTGATAGACTTGAACAAAAGCATCTCAGGCAGGGCCAAGCTCAGGGTTCCCCAGGACTGGCCAAAAAAAAAAAAATCAGCTAAATACAACTGTGTTTAGTGAATGATCTAGAAAGAGAAAAGAGCCTCAGGTTTTATTTTTAAAGCCAAACTAAGGGACCAATCAGATTGATCACCAAATTGGACCTTCACCTATCCCCATCAATATTTGTGCATTTAGCTAATTTTTAGCCAGAATGTCCAGTGGTAATTCTCATTGGACAGCTCTTTGAAAAGGTAATAAGCACCTTTATAGAAAGAACAATTAATCTCTAAACATCTTTCTTTGGAGGCGAATAGCTACAATGGATGCTGAGAACAGGAAGGTGAGATTTCTGACAGAAACAATCTCAAGAGTTAGGCCATATTTAAAGTTTGTTATTGTTATAGTAGCAAGACCTAGCAATATGGTCTCGTATGGTATGAAAAAGGTCTTTATGCAGAATGATGCAGGAACTAGTCTTAGATCCCCAACACATATACTGGTAAGCAAAATAATTTTACTATCACATATTCGCAAAGCATGTTTAACTCACAATGGGCTTATTAAAAATACCTAATTCCAATATAATAAAACTTTACCTGAATGTCACCCTCATTTGATTCTGAAACAATGGGGTTATGTAATCTCAGTAATTATAGTATATATTTACATATCACATAATGCCTGCAATTATGTATTATGTGTTATATATGTATGTGTGATATACACATATATACATGAATTATAAAACACATGTTTATGTGTTATGGTGAAAGTAAAGATTGAAAACTGGAACAAATCAAATAGTTTATATTCATAATTCCAGTAACCAGGAGAATTGTTCCCATTTCATTCTTCTTGTGTATATGTCCTGTGTGTATGTGCATGAGTGTGTCTATGTGTATGTAGATATTGTTAAATAACAATATATTCATTTATATTGAGCTCTGGAAGGAGGCACAGCAAAATACCAAATGGAGTCAAACAGGACAATTTTCTGAAAAAACAAGGAATTCAAAGAAATGAATCAAATGGGACTCAGTCAGGATGACAGGGTCCCCTCTGCCTGAACTCACATAAGGAAACTAGCCTGAAGAACCCTGATGTTAGTTAATATTCTTTCTGCATTCTATTAATAGTTTCTTTGTCGCTGCTCAAGCGGCTTTGGTAAGTATATAAAATGTATTGTGAAAAGTATTTGATTCTCTGGGGCATATATTTAATACTGGAATTTGTTTGAATACATTCAATATTAGTGGCAAGTGCCAAATGATTATACCAATTCATGCCTCTTACAAGGTATATGAAAGTTCAGTTGCTCTCACACCATTGTCAACATTTGCTACTATCTGCTTTTCTTCTTCCTTCTATCTGCCTTTATAATTTGAAGTGTCATGGTATCATTATGTTGTAGTTTTCATTTTTATTCCTCAATGATGAATATTTGGGAAATTTTTCTATCTTCATCATTTGGGTATCTTTTTATCATTACCTATTCAAGTCGTTGCTCATTTTCTTTTGAAATGTCTGGTTTTTTTAATTGTCAAAGAAGGAATTCTTCATTAATTTTCGATATAAATCATATGGATAAATGGAACGTATTTTTTTTCTCTCCTCAGGAGCTTCTACCCTCCTTTGTTTTCAGAGTTAGCATATCCTGCCTCCTTAGAGGAGTAGCCAAGTGCGTCAGTCTCATAAAAGTTAGCATACATTGATTGTATAAAGGTTTCATTGTAGTGATTTCATACTTGTATGAAAATCCTCTGAATTGCTCTTATCTTCCTCCCTTTAAATAATGTTACCAGGTTTCATTAATTTATTTTCATATATACACATAAACTACCTTGATCATATGCATTCCCTCTTCAACGTTCCCCTCCCAATGGTTCCAACCTCCAGTTTTGTCATTTATTTTTCTTAAGGTCTAGAAAGATGAATATTGTTCTCATATAGAGCTTGCAGTTAATTTGCAGGAAATTTGTTTTTTTGTTGTCCTCAAGCTATTATGCATGTTTCTGTGTTTAGACCTTTATTGATATTTCTAATTATTTCCTTAAGATACAAAACTATATATAAATATAATTTTATTATTTTTAAGTAGTCCAATTATTCACTGTTCAATTGATACCATTTTTGTGTCCCATTTAATAGCCTATGAAAATTCTCTTTTAGGCACATAGTGTTTTGTATTTTCTTTATGGTTATGAAAGCTTTACTGACTTCTCTACAATGGGGTTCTGAATATTATTTTGAAGACCAGGATGACATATGACATTGGCTTAGAAAGGTTGTGCAAGGGAAAGAGATCAATGGAAAGGCATGTGCAACATTATTTGTTATCTGCTCTTACTTAAATAATAACATTGAAATTACAATTAAAATAAGACACTACATTGAAAGTAACTGGAAAGACCTTTGTATGGCCAGGATCCAGATATACTTATACTACAAAGTCAATGGACATCTATATATTTGTTTATACTTATACATGTATATATACATATATATATATACATATATACACACAGTTACATCATTCTTTTAGAAAATTTTTTAGGTACATGAAAATATGAAAAAAAAATCAAAGGGAATGCTACTACACTGTTGGTGGAAGTGTAAACTTGTTCAACCATTCTGGAAAGCAGTATGGAGGTTCTTCATAGAGCTAAACATAGAGCTCCCCTGTAACCCAGCAGGCCCACTCCTGGGCATTTACCCAAATGACCACAAACAAGCTACCAGCACAACTATGTTCACTGCAGCATTATTTACCATAGGTAAAGATATGGAACCAACCCAGATGCCCATCAGTAGATGAATGCATCAAGAGCATGTGGTATATATACACAATAGAGTTCTATACTTCCATCAGAAAGAATGACATTGCCTCATTTTAAGGAAATGGAGACTGGGTATATTAAGCAAAGCAAGCCAGGTCCAAAGAAATGTTGGTTGCATGGTTTCCCTCATTTGTACTATTTAGAATATGTTTATGATATTCTTAGCAGGGAATCACAATAGCCCAATCGCTA